GAAGGTGGGGGCTAGGTGGGTGGGTGGGAAGACATTAACCAAAGAACTTAGATGCATACATGCATAACCCATGGACACAGACAATAGTGTGGTGAAGGCCTGGAGGTGGGGGGTGGGAGTGCATGCCGGGTGGAGGGGATCAATTGGGGGAAGAGGGAGGACATCTGTAATACTTTCAACAATAAAGATAAATTTTTAAAAAGTTGTATGCTCACCACTATCTAGCTCTAGAACATTTTTATCACCCTAAAAAGAAACCCTATATCCATTACCAGTCATCTCCTATCCCTTCATTCCCCTAGTCCGTGGCAGCCACTCATCTACTTTGTCTCTATGCATTTGCCTGTTCTGGACATGTCATACAAATATAATCACTCTTATGCCCAGTTTTTTTCATGTTCTCAAAGTTTATCCATGTTGTAGTATGTATCAATTTTTCATTCTTTGTTAGGGCTGAGTAGGATTCCATTGTGTGGCTGTATTGCAATTTGTTTATCCATTCATTGGCTGATAGACATTTGGGCTATTTCTACTTTCTGGCTATTATAATGATGCTATGCACATTTGTGTACAAATTTTTGTGTGGACATGTTTTTATTTCTCTCAGGTGTATACCTAGAATTAGAATTACTAGGTCCTATGGTAATACTATGTTTAACTTTTTGAGGAACCGCCAAATTGTTCCACAGTAGCTATAGTGTTTTACATTCTCACCAGCAGTGTATGAATGATGATTTTAATTTTCTCACATCCTCACCAACACTTATTTTTTTTCTTTTGATTGATCGTAGTCATCCTAATGTACATGAAGTAGTATCTCATTGTGGCTTTGATTTGAATGGCTGCAGTATCTTTACTAGAAAAACTCATCCTCTGGCACTTGGTATGTGACTACTAAACTGACTAATGAATCCTTTTCAAAAGAATCATCAAAAGCAATTCAATTGAACTTGATGTTAGAGGATTATATCCATTGGCTATAATAGGATTATGTATTCCTATCCATTGTTACGTGACTTGACCATGCATCCTGTGGGAAGAGTCTATGTTTTTGCCCTTGACTTTGGGCTTGACCACATAGCATGCTCTAACCAACAGAATGTGAGAGGACGTGTTATTTGCCACAATTGAGCAGAAGTTTACAATTCCACATTTCCTCTCAGTTTCTCTTTCTCTCAATCCTATACTCTATCATATCCCAGATAGGGGCTGCTCCTTGAGCCTGGGTCCCACAATGAGAAGACATACATGGCAGAACCCCAGTCTACCTGTAGCCAAGCAAAACCAAGCCTGTCAGATAGTTGATACTAGTACATTAACTAAAAGTTTTATATATTTTTATATGCATAAAAGAAAAAGTCTCAAAAGCTCACTAAACTGTTAATTGTGTTGATTAAATCAGTGTATGCATGGATAATTTTCACTTTGTTCATTTTTGTATTGTTTGGATTTTTAAATGAACTTATGTACTTTTGTAATTCTTTCTTCACTTAGTTTTTAAAAAATTACCCATACTGTCTATTCAACATAGATAGCTTAAATTATAATGAATTTACTTTTCGAGAAAAAGAAATCAATAAAAATGAGTTTATTTTTTAAAATTTAAGTTGTATACAGAGGGAAGGAGGGGGTAGGTGGGTGGGAAGAGATTAACCAAAGAACTTACATACATATACACATAACCATGGACACAGACAATAGTGTGGTGAAGGCCTGGGATGGGGGGTGAGGGTAGGGTAGAAGGGGTCAATGGGGAAAAAGGGGACATCTGTAATACTTCCAACAATAAAGATAAATTTAAAAAAATACAGTTGTGCTCATATAGATGGTAATTAAAGCCAAATGAGTGAAAGAGATCATTGAGAAAGGAATATATGTAGCCTACCCTTGAGAATGTCTGACTTTCAGAGATTAGAAAGCAAGTGAAATCTACAAAGGAGACTAAGGAGAGGGCAAAGGGGTAGAAGGAAAAGCAGAAGAGTATGGTGTCATAGATGCCACAGAAAGACTTTCGAGGAGAAGGAAATGGTTAACAGCGTTAAATGTAGGGAAGAGGTCAAGGAAGATAAGGACTGAAAATGCCTTGTCTGTCTATCTATCTATGTCTATCTATCTATCATCAATCATCTATTTATGTATACGTTATCTTGTTGAGCACAGTTTCCGTGGAGTGTTAGTGAAGGAAGCCAAATTGCTGAATGAGAAGAAAGGGAATGGAGATTGCAAGTGTATATTTTCAATAAGTTTGTCCATAAAGAGGAACTGGGGAGGTACCTACAGTGTAGGGAGGAGTTTTTTTAAGGTAGTAGAGACTTGAGTGTGTTTAATTGCTTGCTGATATTTGAGAGGGAGTTGAACATAGTGATGAGAAGAAGGGAGGGAAAGAGAGAAAGGGAGGAAGAGAAAAGAATCTACAATTACTGGGGAGAAGTTAACATGTTAACATTTTAATTTCTCTTGAGATTTTATATATATATATATATATATATATTGTTCACATGCTTTCTCAAAGGGTTTTTAACCAACATACACTCCCACCAGCAATTATGAGACAGCTTGTCTGGTGGCCAGTTTGTCATCATTGTTATAAAAACAAACCAAAAAAACTTTGCCAAATAACCTCGTTATTATTCCAATTTGCTCTTCTTTGATTAATAGTAAGTTGAATATTTTACCCTGTTGTGACTGTGTGTGAATTTAGTTTTATGTCCTTTGCCCAAAACGTTTCTATTTTAGACAGACATTTTCCTTTGCCATAGAAGACAGAAAGTTGGAGGATCGGAAGGGTATCATATTTTATTTTCCCAAATTATACGGTCTAGAGTCTTCATCTTCCCAAAGGTACACGACAATTTGACAACTCGTGGCTCAGTTGAGCCTCAGAGGCAGGTAATTTAGCACCTGACAGAGTGACCACAGATGGAAGTGAAAGCGGGGTTAGTCTTAGACCCCTATACTTAGTCTTCAAGCTCCCTTTCCTAACCCGGGAGGGCCTCCGCCCAGTGCTTTAAAACTTTGGCCCCCAGAGCTCCCCTAGAAGTGGCGCGATCCCCTAGGTAGGAGCCGGGAGCGCTGTGCGGCCCCTTTAAGAGTCCAGCTCCTCCCAGCTCCAGGGAAAGTTGGAGCTTTTTCCGCCTCCCGGGGAGGTTGAGAAGGGCCGGCCGCCCGAGCGGGATTGCAGTGTTCCCCGGGCTGTAGACCCTGCCCTGAATCCGACACTGGGACGCCTCGCCCTCTCGTGGCACCTGTTGCAGGTGACAGGTAGGTCCGCGGCCAGAGGCCGCCCCTTTGCCCCCGGTCGGGGACTCCCCTCGGGTCCCCAGCCCC